GGTGCCGGTGCTCGAGCGGCTGCACGCCTCGCTTCCGGCGTCGCTCCCGGCGTCGCTCGCGCCTGCAAGCCCCGCAGCGCTGTCGGCGGGCGGGGGGGAGGGTGCCGGCGAGGAGTCGGCCTCCGCGAGGTCTACGGCGGCGTGCCTGCTGGCAGAGGCGCGGGACGCGCGATGGAGGCGGCCGCCACGACATGCCATTGTCGTGGACTGCTGTCCGAGACACGTCCGATAGGCGTACGCCTCGCGGCTGAAGGAAGCGGCCGCGGCGGGCGGCGAGCAGGGCGCGCTCGAGCGCCGGCTGAACGAGCTCCTCTCCGGCGCCGTCCTCTCGCGTGCGCAGGCGGAGCAGCTGCTGCCCGCTGCTCGCGCCGGCGTCATGGCGCGGAAGGGTTTGGTGGGCGTGTCCTGTAGGCGGAGCAGCTGCTGCCCGCTGCTCGCGCCGGCGTCATGGCGCGGAAGGGTTTGGTGGGCGTGTCCTGTAGGCGGAGCAGCTGCTGCCCGCTGCTCGCGCCGGCGTCATGGCGCGGAAGGGTTTGGTGGGCGTGTCCTGTAGGCGGAGCAGCTGCTGCCCGCTGCTCGCGCCGGCGTCATGGCGCGGAAGGGTTTGGTGGGCGTGTCCTGTAGGCGGAGCAGCTGCTGCCCGCTGCTCGCGCCGGCGTCATGGCGCGGAAGGGTTTGGTGGGCGTGTCCTGTAGGCGGAGCAGCTGCTGCCCGCTGCTCGCGCCGGCGTCATGGCGCGGAAGGGTTTGGTGGGCGTGTCCTGTAGGCGGAGCAGCTGCTGCAGCTGCTTGCGCCGCCGCCGGCCGGTGGCACCGCCGCCGCGCGAGGGTGCAAGGGGGGCGTGGGCGGGTGCTGGCTGGTTCCGGCGCGCGGGCAGCGCAGGCCTTGCCCTGGCCCCTCCCTCCTCGCTCGCTGAGGCTGTTGTGGTTCGCGTCTGCCCTCAGGCGCGCGTGTCGCTGCTCTCTCGGCTGGAGAGGCAGGGCGAGGCGCTCGCTCTGCTGGTGCGCGAGGGCGGTGACCCGGAGGCGGCTCGACGGTACTGCGATGCGCAGCCGGAGGGACAGCGGGCGGAGCTGCGGCTCTGCTTGCTCGACCTCTACCTCGGCGGCGAGCCCCGGCGGGTGGAGGCGGCGGTGGCGCTGTTGCGGGACTATGGGGCGGCGGTGGCGCCGGAGGTCCGGCGGTGGGGTGGTTGCCTCCCGACGAGCTTGGAGCGTGAGGCTGGTTGACACAGAGATCATGTCAGCAGGCGGTGCTGGCACGGATGCCTCCCGACGCACCGATCTCGCAGCTGGCGCCCGTGGCGGAGGCGCTCCTCGGCCGCTCCTCGCAACGGCGCCGCGAGGCGCAGATGCTCCGCGCGATGGAGAAGGCGCCCCCGCTCGCACTGACTCGGCTGATCTGGGCTGATCTCGGCTGATCTCGGCCAGCCTCGGCTGATTTCGGCGTGTTTCGCGCGGCAATGCATCAGGCGCGTTCCGTCCAGCTGCACGCGACCATGCTCTCTCGGCGGGCTGGCCGCACCGTCATCACTCCGGAGACGCTCTGTTCCGTGCGCCGCCAGAGGTGTAGCGCGGCCTCCAGCACCGTGCGCGGCGCTGATCACCTCCTGCCGCGAATAGGTTTGCTCCAGCCGGATCGGGACCGCCGATTTTGCCGCAGCGCCAGGGGGAGAGGTGTGGCACGTTGCGTGCGCGGGCCACGCCGCGGCGGACATTCGGCGAGCGTGAGAAATGGGAGGGGACTGGTTGGGTAGTAGGCTAAGTTCTGAGCCTCGAGGCTTAACGGGTCTAAGTGTGACCGGTCACGCTGGGGGGTGCTTACGCGGTCTATCGTCTAAGATCGGCGGGAGCCTCTCTTAACCGAGCAGGTCTAAGTTTTGGGCAACCCTCTACCCCTACTCTACCCAACCACGGGTGGATTTTGTTTTTTGTGCAGCGCCCCAACTCCGTGTACTCTGTACATATAGACTCCCCGCGGACTGCGCGCCACACGCACACAAGTCGTCACACGTGAGAGCTGACACACAAGGCCTTCCCCCCTGGCCGGTCCCTCGAGTCCCCCCCTGTTCCTGCATGTCGGGTTGACCCGTGCCCTTCCGCCGGTTAGGCCCGCGGTTGATCTCATTCCCTCGCCTGAAACTGAATTCCGGGGTAGGCCAGTTCCGCTCCCAAGCTGGGACTGGAAAACCACCGAACCCCCCCGGTACAGGACCGAACCGCCAGCCGC